TTAAAATTTAATTTCACATTAATTTATCTTGATTGTCTTGACAACAAATTCTCATCAATGATACGGAAATTTGAACTAAAGCACTAAATCACTGAATTTTAGAGTGAGAAAACACCTAAAGATTATCCATCCCAGTAGCCATCACTTTAGTCTGTATCAGAATCACTTGGAGGGTTTGTTACAACCATTCTCAGAGTTTCTAATTCAGTAGGTCTGGGATGGAGTCTGAGAATTTGCTTTTAAATAAGCCGCAGGTGATAATAGTACAAATGCAGTTTTGCATGCTGGGATGGAGAAAACAATGTTCTTTCCTCCTGTATAGGGAAAAAGCCAGTCCTTCCTCCTTCCGTGTTTCTCCTGTGCGTTTCCTTTACTTTCACACGACTACCACACTCACAACACTTCTGACACCAGATGAGTGGAGGTTTTCTCCACAAACAAGCAAGTCTCTGAGACACCAGCTGGGTGTTCCACAATTTAACGCAATTCGGACACTATCTACATGGAAATAGTGTCAGATCACACAGGGTAAGTTCTCAGTCCAATGAGACTGTCCCCTCCCGCTCTTTCAGATGCCAATCCCAAGTCACCTGTTCTTCTGACCTGAGGTTTCCACAACCTCCTCCTCGGGTTCAATTAATTTGCTACAGCAGCTCACAGAAATCAAAAAAACTGTTTACTTACTGCTTAGCAGTTTCCTATAAAAGGATATAGCTGAACATCTGATGGACGAGATGCCTAGGGCAAGGAACGTAGGATGGGACGTGGAGCTTCCATGCCTTCTCCAAGAGCTCTCTCCCACAGCTCTGCCTGCTCAACCCGGAAGCTCTCCAAACCCCACCTTTTGGGTTTTTAATGGACGTTTCCTTACACAGGTGTGATTAATTAAACCATTGCCCATTGGTGATTGAACTCAATCTCCTGCTTCTTTCTTGGCCCCAAAAGTAGGGGGGTGGGGCTGAAAGTGCTAACCCTCTGATCACCTGGTTGGTTCCCCGGCAAGAAGCCCCTATCCTTAGGTGAGGCCCCCAATCACCTAATTAACAAAATGAAAGACACCTGTGTTGCTCTTGTCAGGAAATTCCAAGGATTTTAGAGCACTGTGCCAGAAACAGGAATAAAGACCAAATAGATATTTATCATAAATCATAACATCATACATATGTAATATGGTTAATCACAATCCTGGTTAAATTTAATTCTACCTACTTTATTTCTGTATCTGTGTAGCTGGATATGGCTGGAGAATATATAACCAGACTAAAAAGTCTCATTTTGAAATAAATCATCATTAACCTCAAGTGGGTTCCTGTGCTGCTGGGTAGTCCTCTGTCCACCCTCTTGAACAATAATTACATATTTTCTCCACTCTCCTCAGAGCTCCCATACCTCCTCCACTGTTTTCAATCTCAGCTAATGACCATGTGTCCTCTTTCACTGAGAAAACTGAAACGGTCAGATAAGAACTTCAGCAGCTGCCACCACCATGTCTACCAACCTGTCTGTCTGTATCTCCATGGTCTCTACCTTTTCTCCTGTTGTGACTGAACTGTAAGCTCCTGACTTGGTGAATGTCTCCACTTGTACACTAGATTCTACTCCCTTTCACCTACACAAGAAAGTCAATCCAGGAATTTTTCCTGTTTCCTTTATATAATTATAATAAATATTCATCATTTTACTAGATCAGCATACAAACATGCTGTTATTTCGCCCATTAAAAGAGAAAAACCCTCCTTGAATCTATTCTCCTACAATGCCCCATTTCACTTCTTTTTCTTTAGTGCAAAATTCCTTGAAATAGTTATGCTATATTCACTATTTCCAATTTTATTCTCCCATTCTCTCTTGAGTGCATTCTAATCAAACTTTCCCCCACACCAATCAACAAAAAGCTCTATATAAGTCATCACTGACCTCACTGCTAAATCCAATGGTCAATTCTCAAGTCACATCTTACCTGACACATTAGCAACATATTGCAGTTTACCATTTTCCCTACCTTATAACATTGCACTTTTCGCTTAGATTCCAGGATACTTTATTTACCTAGTTTTCTTCCACCTTTATAGCCATTCTTTTTCAGTCCCCTTTGCTCGCTCCTCTACATTTCATTGGACTTAAAACACCGGCATGCTCAAAGACAGACTCCTTAAACCTTTTCTGTTTTCTATTTATATTCAAGCCCTACATGAAATCAGCCAGCCTCATTACCTTAAATGCCTTTTGTAATCTAATGGGTCATATATTTATACTTATAGTCTGGCCTATCCCCAAATTCCTGATATAGGTATCCAGTTATAGGTATATGACATACACTTGGATGTCTAATAAGTATCTCAAACTTATGTCCCAAACTGAGTTCCTAATATTCCTTTCCTTTCTCCCACAGTCTTTCCCATATCTGTTAATGGCAATTCCATCCTTCCAGTTTCTCAGGTCAAAAGCATTAGAATCAATCTTGACCACTGTATCTCTTTCACACTCTAACCCCAACTTATTGGCATATTCTGTTGGCTTGACCTTTATAATATACTCAGATTCTGACCATTTCTCACCCTTTATACTATTACCACCTGGTTTGAGCAAGCCTCTATCCATTTCTCACCTGAATTATTGTACTAACCTTTTAACTGCTCTCCTTTCTTCCAACCTTGACTCCCTTTAGGATATACCCAGCACGAAGAGTGATCCTGTTAAATGGAAATTAGATTATATTACTCTATTCTCAAAATCTTCCCGTCTCATACCAAGTAAAAGTCTAAGTCTTTACTGTGTCCTACAAGAACCTACATGACTTAGCTCCGTATTATCTCTGATCTCATCTCCTATAAGTCTGTCCGTAACTGCTCCAGAAGGTCAAGATCTGTGAATAGTTTGAGATTTTACTTTACTTGCAAGCTAATAAATTTAAGTTGCCAGTTTCATGGATGCTGATAGAAGACGTGAGACTCTTGGATCAGAGATAAAGGATAATCACAGTTGCCAGAATATTTTGTGCTGGTTTCCTGAGCCTTAATTCCACAGTACAATGCAAAGAAGCCTCCTCTTCTGTATAAATCTGCTCAGGCTGCCTTAACAAAATACCACAAACTGGGTGACTTCAACAACAGAATTTTATTTTCTCACACTTCTGGAGACTGGAAGTCTCAAATCAACATACCTGCACTGTTGGTATCTGGTGAGAGCTCTCTCCCTGAGTTGCAGACAGCTGCCTTCTCACTGTGTACTCATGTGACCTTTCCTATGTGTGGGGGAGGGGAGGGGAGGGGAGGTGGGGAGAGAGAGAGAGGGAGAGAGAGAAAGAAAGAGCTAGGTCTCTGGGTGTCTCTTCTTATAAGGACACCAATTCTATCAGATCAGGGCCCTACCCTTATGACCTCCTTTAACCTTAAATATTCCCATAGAGGGCCCATCTCCAAATATCAATACATTCACACTGGGGGAGGGGGGGGAGGGCTTTAATATATGAATTTGGGGAGGGGAAATGAACAAATATTAGTCCTTAACATCTTCTACTCTATTTAAAATTTAATCACACCCTTTTCCAAGAATTTCTATCCCCTTTTCTGCTTTATTTTTTCCTTAGTACTTATTGCTATCTAATCTCATATATATACTTACCGTATATATTGTCTGTCTCTATCATAGAAAGTTCTGTGAAGGTACGGATTTTTATCTGTTTTATTCACTATTTTATTCCCCTGTGCCTAAAACAGAGCCTAGAACACATGGTAAACCCTCAATAAGTATTTGTTGATTGAATGAACTAAGATTTTAGTGGGGAAGACTGGTAATTTGGAAAGCTGGAGAAGGTACACTTCTAGCCAGTAAGACCTCTTTTAGGAGGAAAATCCTCATTAATTGTCTGGTGAATTATTTACTGTAGACCGAATTGTTAATATCTTACTATAGAAGTCCTTAAATTTAAGCTTCCTTTGTAATGTGTATTTCTGAAATAGTAGAGGCTATATTTTGGACTTACTGAGCTTTTTTTTAAAAATCATGTTACATCATCTAAACATGTTATTTTTAATTTTAAATACTTTATAAAGTACTTTCTAAATGGAATGTATTTTTATAACACCCTTCCTAAGTCTCTGGTACATGTACACTCCTGAGGTATATCAGCCTGGGATAACTTCCTTACTCTCTCTACATGATGTCAAAGGAGAAAGGAAAGAAAAGGCTGCTAGGGCGCTGCTTAGGGGAGAATCTGCAAATGTCCAAAGGTCAGTCTACCCCAAGTTACTTCCTAAGCTTCATTGTATCTTGTCTCTGGGACTGGTAAAAATCACCCATAGGTAATAGTTTGGCATGGATATTCAACCTTGGAGAGTCTAGGTGAGTAAACCATTTTTCTGTATAAAAGGTGCATAAGCCTGCCTAAACACCAAAGCTAGTTTGGATTTTTTTTAATACAATCAAAATTGCTAGCATGAACTCTAGATATTTAAATTTCATGAAATATTCTGAGTGTTCATTTTCAGAAGAAGAAAAATAGCATTTTCTAGTGAATGAGTCTATAAAATAAAGAAGTGGAATCAGTTGGCATTATTTTTTCAGCTGGTTATTCAATAAATTAAAATTATAAATTTTCTAAAATTTGCTCTTTAAAAAAGTATTTTAATGAATACTGTATAGTATAATGAAAGGATACTGGATTAGGAATTAGGAAACCTGAGTTCTAGTCCAGGCTCAGCCACTGACTTGCTATGTGACCTGGCCCAAGTCTCATCATTTTTCTGGGTCTCTGTTTTCTCATTAATATAATGAGAGGATTTGACAAGTTGATGTCTTAGACTCCTTTTAGACCCCACCTTTTATGATTCCAAGTTATTGCAACTGACGAACTCACAAATCTACTGATTTATGTATAATACTGCAATATTATGACACTATAGATATGAATTATCATAATATAAAACATTTATCACCCATAGATGAATAGCAGCTGTTTTAGAATTTCATGTGCCAGTGATATGAAATTGTTTTTATAGGTACATTCCTCTCATTGAAAGGAGCTGTCCTAACATTCTCCTGTATGGACCGAACTGGCAGATTAATGCAACCACCATATGAAGTCTGGAGGGATCCAAACAACACAGATGAAAATGAGAAATCTTGGAGAAGAAAGCTGGTCATGAACTGCCCCTCTCCATCCCAAGAAATAGGAGATCATCAGTATACAATAATCTGCTCAGAAAAACAAGCCAAAGTCTTCTCACTGCCTTCTCAGACTTGCCTCTATGTTCACAACATCACCGAGACATCTTTTATACTGCAAGCAGATGTGGTGGTCATGTGTAACAGTGCCTGCTTGGCATGCTTTTGTGCCAATGGGCATATCATGATAATGAGGTACTTGCCTTCTTTATAAATTATCTGGTAATCATAACAGTGCAAACAAGGTACAATTATGAAAAGTATATGTGTAATGTGCAAGATGTTATCAAGAAGCAACCTGAGATCATTGTTTCATTATGTTTGTGAATGTTTTATTGCTCAAAAGTTTGAGGAGACTTTGAGTTTTTATTTGTTTTTGTTTGCTTTTTGTTTGTTTTTTGTTTTTGCTAAAAATGCTTTGCATTGTGAATGAAATATGTTAATTGACATCAAGGAATCTAAGGAAAGAGTGATTCTCCAGTCATTCACACATTCATTCAACATTTATTGAGCACATGTTATCTCCCAGATGCTATGCTAGGCACGGGATATATGAAGATGAATAAACTACAAGGAAAAGAAATGAACTGTTACCTTTACTATGTTTCATAGTACACACAAGAATTTTCCATACAGAATTTAATTTTATCCTTATAACTTCTCTAGGACATAGGAAAATAAAGTGTTATTTGCATCCTCCATTTTACATATGTTAACAAATTTGCCCGAGGTTGCAAGTCTAGGAAAAAGTGAGATCAATACTGAACAGTATACTAAAAGTCATTTTATTTTAACCTGCTCTAGCTATGCATTAAGAAATATACATGGAGGGAGAGCTTGGATGCGCTTTTGAACTGAAGTCGTAACTATATTGGAGGCTAGGTGGAAACAGATGTGAGGGATAATTGAGGGAAATTTGCTGAATGTAAAACCAATTGGTTGTGAAAGGTAATGGAGGTCTTTAAATCTCAGGGTTAGAAAAGAACTTAAAGGTTAAAAAGTTTTATCATGAACTTGGATAATAGTGAGGTCATTAGCAGATAAGAAAGTCAGAATTTAGAAAGACTGATAATGAGAAGTTTGGGAATGAATTGAGAATGAATGCTTGGAATGTGAGGTGCTTATATGCCAGCCTGCAGAAGTTTAGCCAGCAATTTAAGGTCTGGACTCTTAAAAAAATAGGGATGGAAGATACAGCTCTGGAAACCATTTACGTAAATGCATTAGTGAAAGTTGTAGCCGTGAATGAAATCATCAAAGAGGACACTATAAAAAAAGCGGAGAAATAGACTGGTCTTAGGACAAAAATTGAGGGGGAGGGGTGCATATGTCTACATTTATGTAGTGGAGAAAAAAGAAACTCCAGCAAAGGAGATTGAGAAGTCATCAGAGAGCTAGGAAAAGGATCAGAGTAGCAGAACTTCATGAAATGAAAACGACAGCAGAGTATCAAAACGATGGTCAAGAGGTAGTACAAGAAAAAACCCTAGATCTGGCACCTAGATATTAGTGATCTTTGAGAAAGCAAATCTTAGGAGCACGGTGGAGGTAAGACTAAATTTCAAGGGGGCAAGAAGAGGCAGTGGCATAGATCAGGGGCTGACAGACTACAGCCCCAGGCCATATCTACCCTGCCCTCCCCCCAATCTGATATTGTAAAGCTTGCAAGCTAAGAATGGTTTTTACATTTTCAAATTGTTGAAAGAAATCAGAGAAGAATATTTCATGATATGTGAAAAGTATATGAAATTCAAATTTTCAATGGCCATAAACAAAGGTTCGGGGAACACAACCACACCCATTTGCTTACATACTGCCCAGAGGGGCTTGTGCACAGTAGGGCAGAGTCGAGTAGTTGCACTGGAGGCCTAAAATATTTACTATCTGGCTCTTTAAAAAAAAGTTTGCCAACCCCTGAGACAGTATTCTTTGGGGAAATTTTGGTAAAAAGAGAGATGAGAGACAGGAAAGTAGTTCGAGAGCAAACCTGGGTGTTTGAGAGTGTTTTTATTGTTATGTTTTATTTAATAGGGGAGACATGAGTAGATTTGTAAGCCAAGAAGTAGTTAATGAAGGAGAAAGTTTTGAAAACATAAAATCATTTATGGCCTGCTCATTCTCTTACATATTTCTTACTCTTTCTCTCTTCATCTGGTTTCTCTTTCTCAAGCTCTTTTTAAAGATTTCTGAAGGCCATTCCAGTCTTGTTTGAAAATAACGACTTAACTCCTAGACATGCCTTAGTTTAGAAGGAAAAAAAAATGTGTGTATACACTCCCCTGAGCTCACGTTTAGTCACTCAAAAATGTTATTTCGCAATTGAGTTTTTAGCTTGATAGTGACTACTTACCCTGTTTTTGCAAAATTTTAGTATGTCTTCTTTTCTTAAATGGTACATCTGAAAATTAATTTCTACTTAAATGAATACATGCTACATCTACATTTATGAGGAGGGGAATTTCTTGAGAAATGAAAAGCAAGAGTTTAAAAAGCAACAGGAGTCATAGCAATAGGAAAGATAAAATGATCTCTGTCTCTGACCTTTGTAAAAGCTGTTTTACATGATAATGACTACTTTAATATTATGTCCTAGTGGAAACTCTTTGTGTTCACGAGGATCTCAAAAATATTTGAAAAGTGATTTTGACATGATTTTAGTAATGTGTAAGGTGTGGCTAGGAAACATGTGGCTTGAGTAACTGGAGTCTACAAATTGGCATGCTCCTGACCTTGCTAAGCATATTCCCAGATCTTTCCAGACCCTGTCAGAACTTAACTACAGGACTTTCCTGGCAGTCCAGTGGTTAGGACTCCGTACTTCCAATGCAGAACTTAACTACACTGAGCCCAATCTCCTCAAGTCCTAGTTTTCAGATAGTTGCTAGGTAGGTATGATTGCTCATGTGCCAATGTACCCAGACCTAGAAAAGAGTAGAGAGAGATGCAAGAGGCTTATCTATGTATAAAGTTCTCAAATTGGGCTGAGAGAGCCATTTTTAGTGGGAACCATCTTTAGTTACCTGACACTATTTCCTTATAAAAATGTCCTTGCACAGAAAAAAACTTTTTTTTTTTCATCTTTAAGAGTACTTGTTTCCTAGACCTTAGCAATTGACTTACTCTTTCCTTTTCCTACCAAAAGTGATTACACCTGTTGTATTTTGTTGGCTTACTTTTATTATGCTACATAGACAACACAACTTATCAGGAAAGTCCATAGGAACCTCTTCCCCACCACAGCCCATTAATCTGAATGAATGGAAGTCTGTTTAACTGGGTTTGTTTGGGACTCATATCCTAAGGATCTTTGTTACTTCAAACGCCATCACATGTATTTTTAATATACTTTTTTCATACTAAATCTTTGAAATTCAGTATATAATTTACACTTACAGAATATCTCAAATCAGACAAGCCATATATCAACTGCTCAATAGCCACATGTGGCTAGTGGCTACCATATTGGACAGCACAGCGCTAGGACCTCATGAAAAACTTATTCCTATAGCACAGATTTCAGGTCCCATTTTATATGGTAAGATTCTAGGGCTTAAGTTGTAATTACAAACTACTTTGATAAGAGAAATAAGTACTTTTTTTTCAAGGTGCTGGTTTTATGATCTGGGTTAATTTAAAATCATTGTGCACACTACAATTAGTAGAATGATTTCAAAGCTTGAGATTTAACTACAAGTTTATTTTTCTCTTTTTGGCATTAGAGATGTGCTTTAAAAGCATCGAGATTGGTTTTCTTTAGTAGTTTGTAAATCTGGCTCCAGTGACAGTATCCAAAAGTACATTTTTATAAATATGTAAGCAGAATCATTTGACTACAACATTAGGATAAGCATAGAGCCAATCAGTAAGACACTTGAGATGTGGTATTAGCTTGGATGTGCAAATTTTGATCTATTATTTGTAACTAATTCTGTTACAGCCCCCAGCCATGTTTGTTTATTAATCATCCCTTCAGTGCAGGTGCCCTAAGTCATAGGTGACTTTCACTTTCTGTGTATAGAGGAAGTAAAGGAATGGGGAGCAAAGCCACTCCATTCCCAGGCACAGTGAACAAGACCCACTTCATCAGTGTATAACCTCCTCAGACCCAGTTCTGCCTTAAAAAGAGACAATAGACCAAGTATGCAGGCAGCCACTTTCTAGCTGTGGTGTTTCTGCCATAATCAAAGATTATAACTGTACTGTAGGAACCTGTGAAATGCTCCAAAAAGCATTTTGAAATTGCTGGCCACTGCATTTAATCCATCCTTCAAAGACATTTGCTAAGTATCTGTGTGGATTAAGATAGAAGAACTGTGCCCATAATTTTTTGTGAATATGATTTTATGTGAAAGTCTAGTTTACTACCATTGAAAATTCAAGAGGATAAAGAAACAACCATAAAGTAGTGGTATAAAAAGTATTGTTTCATGTAAGGATCTGCACATTTTATACGAAGAAATTAAAAGCTTCTAACAACTTGAAAATGAAATGTGGATTTGTTTTTTTCCATTCAGCCTACCTAGTCTTCGCCCAATGTTGGATGTTAATTATTTGCCACTGACAGACATGAGGATAGCACGGACGTTTTGTTTTACCAATGAAGGACAGGCATTATACCTTGTCTCTCCTACTGAAATTCAGCGGTTAACATACAGCCAAGAGATGTGTGATAATCTACAGGTAGGTCAGGCACATTTATGAATAAACATAGGACACAGTTGTAAAAAGAGAAAAAGTTAGAAAGATGTCTAAAAGCTAAAATATTATTGAGCCAGACAATAAATATGCCTGCCCTAGAACATGTTTTGAATGTATGTTCATCATTGTGATGCTACCAAGTTCTAGTGTGGTTCCAGATATACACAGAAAAAAATAAGAAAAAACGGGATGTGCGAAGAATGTGATCACACATATCAATGGTTGTTTTGTGTGTTTTATTGGTTTTTTTGCCTATGGAGAATCCTCTGAAAGATTATGAAAATCTTCCTCCAGGGTGGGGAATATGTATGTACACACAAAAATTCTGCATACAATTCAGGGAGTTAATGAAATTTTTTTAAAGAAATCTTAATTGTGATTAAGAGCCATACAAAATAAATACATATCCTGTAGGTTAGAATTGGGCATTTGTCTTTGATCATAGCGGTTAAGCAGAACCTAGAAACAAATATAAAAGCCTATCTAACCTTGGATAAGTAAATGTGGTCACAAAATGTTAAAAGGCATCTTAGGGATTTAATTGGTTTCTCCTCCTTATTTTAGAAATAAGAAAACTAAAACCCATTCATTACAATATAGAGGTTCAGAGCATAAGCTCTGAACTATTTAAGTAGCATTTTGCTCACTTATATAACTTTGGCCATTTTACTTAATCTACTACCTTGGAGCACTGCTGTGAGAATTAAGAAAGAATTCATATAAAGCACTGAGCACAGTGCCTGGAACATAATAAGCTTTAAAAATAAATAATAATAAATGTTATTCAACAAATACTTAGAGTTTTTTATATGCCTGGTACTTGGCTGGGCTCTAGGAACACAATCATAAACAAGATACGAGTCCCTACCTGTTAGTGTGGAGGGAGAGATAAGTAAACAGACAACCACAATACTCTGGAAAATGCTGTTATATGGCTGTGCCGGTGCTGGGGAGACATGTGAGAGGGGCACCTGGGTTGATGGAACAAAAGGGAAGGGGTAGTTAGAAAAAGGTTGTGAAGGATGAATAGGAGTTATCCATAGGAATGGATGGCTGGAGATGGAAAAGGTAATAATATTCTTGACAGAGCAGAGGCATGCGACAGCCCCAAGGTTCAGGCAACTTCCAACGAAGTGCTGAGTTGGGAAGTGGAGAGAGTGAAGGGTTGATGCTGGAGAGTTAGTCAAGAACAGAGCTTGGAACACCTTGTAAGCTCCTTAAGGAATCTGGCATTTATCCCCAGGGCAATAGCAAGTCATTGAAAAAGTTTAACAAATTTGTTTATTAAAGCTAATATTCTGGTTGCAGTATGGCAATTAGTTTTGTGGAATTAAGACTAAAAGTAGGGAGAAAAATTTGGAGGCTTTTTAAAATAATTAAGGCCAAAAATAATAGTGGTTTGAAATAAGGCAGCCAACAGTGAGGAGAGAGAAAAGTTAGCAGATTCAATGGCTATAAAGTGTAATCAGTCGGATTGGAGGGTTATTAGATGTAGGAGTGAAGGAAAGGAAGGAATTAATAATTATTCCTGTATTTCTAGGTTGGGGAACTAAGTAGATGGTGCAGCCATTTCCAAAGAGAAGGGATTCAGAGGAAGAGCACAGGTCTGGGGAGTAGAGGTGAAAGGGGATGATGATGACAGTCATGCTGCAAGTTCACAGACAAACTGATATTAGGTCAACGGTCTGACTTTGGGTTGAAGTTCCTTCCTCCAAACCAATGGTTCTCAAATTTTGGTCTGCTTTAGAAAGACCAAAGCAAGTTAAAACTTTTTAGGGCAAGTTAAAAGTTAGGAAAAGTTAGAGCAAGTTAAAAATACAGATAACCAGAACACATCTATGCAAATTTTGATTTAGCGCATGTGGAATAAAGCCAGTGCATCTGTGTTTCTAACAAGATATCTCCCCAGTCATTCTAAATTACATCAAATATTAAGAACAATTTTACCTCACCATGCAGTAGCTGCCTACTTTGACTCATTTAAATTATCTTGAGCTACTTCATTATTTTGTACGTGATATAAAAATAAATCCAGCCTTTCTCTACACACCACCTGGTTCCAGAAAGGGAACTAGGACAGGAAAGACGCTATGGTAATTGAAAAAGAATCAGAGGTCTAGATTGGCAGTCACTGATCAAGTGTAAATTAATCCTAGGGTGAATATTAGCTTCCCATGCTTTCTAATTGTAGAAGGAAGAAACGAAGAGGGCAGAAAAGTGAAAATTTTAGGATGTCAGTTCTTGGAGAAGGGAAGGGAAAGGAAGGAGATGGAGAAAGAAAGGCCAGAGAGAACTGGGAGCAAAGCAAAAATCACCAGGAAAATATATGGAGAACAGACTGCCTTTTCATGACATGCTCAAACCTGCCACCATGTTATCTTTTGATCTGTTACTTTACTCTTAGTCTAATGCTGTTTTCTTTTGATCTGATATAGGACATGCTAGGAGATTTGTTTACTCCCATAGAGACACCAGAAGCTCAAAACAGAGGCTTTCTCAAAGGACTGTTTGGTGGAAGTGGACAAACATTTGACAGAGAAGAGCTCTGTGAGTAACAGAAGACCTATTTCTAGACTAGCGTTTTGCTTCTATACCATGAAAACTATTTGTTTACCAAACATGAATAAAATTGGTCACTTTATATTAGATGCAATTCTAATAGTATATGCAATTCATAGTACATGCAATTCATACAAAAAATGAGTAAGCTAATAAATGTGTCATTTGCAGATAGATCATACCTGCAAGGCAGGGTGAAGACATTTGATTACTAAAATCTGAAAAAATGTTTTTGAATCTGCCTGCCTTTACTTCTAGGAAACAGATTATTTATTCAGAATTCAAGGTTTACCAATGGTACAGAATAAATTACTTTAAAAAAATCTACCTGCGAAACTCTGATGAACAATAATCAAAATGCAGTAGAAAGATACTAGGGAACATTTTCAGAGATAAATTAAGAATACATTTTCCAGAATATCTCACCCACCATTTGGTCTTACAGATCAAAACTCCTTTTTTGAATTTTTAACTATGCAAAAGATCTAGGTACCTCCATACAATGGAATAGTATTCAGCCATAAAAGGGAATGACGTTTGATACATACTACAACATGGATGAACCTTGAAAACATCATGCTAAATTAAAGAAGGAAGACAAAAATGGCCACATATTGTATGATTCCTTTTATACAAAATGTTCTGAATAGACAAATCCATAGAGACAGAAAGTAAATTAATAGTTGCCAGGGACTGAGGCAAGGAGGGACTAGAAAGGGACTGCTAATAGGTACAGAGTTTTCTTTTTGGGGTGATGAAAATGTTCTAAAATTAGACAGTGGTGATAGTTGCACAAATCTGTGAATATGCTAAAAACCACTGAATTGTACACTTAAAAAGGGTGAGTTTTGGGAATCTCCTGGCAGTCCAGTGGTTAGGATTTGGAGCTTTCACTGCCGGGGCCAGGAGTTCGATCGCTGTTCTGGAAACCAAGATCCCGCAAGCTGTGCAGCATGGCCAAAAATTAAAAAAAGGGGTGGTGGTGAATTTTATGATATGTGAATTTTATCTCAATAAGCCTCTTATTTTTTAAAAAACTGATCTAGATTCCATTCCTAATGTTATATCCTTGGGAATTCTCACTAAATTTTTACTAAGAGAGCTGTTTTTCAATATTTAAAAGTTACTTCATTAAAATTAAGTGAAAATGCGCTTTGTAAATGATGGGGAAATTTTTAGTCTTTTATAAAGTTCCTACAAATGTTTATTAATGCCCATCATGCATACACCCCATTCTCTAGTATTTACATACACACACACACAGAGATTTTTGAAAAAACGACAACTGCGGCCTACAAAGACTGACAGCAAGATGAATACAGAAGATTGGAATGCCAACTTGGGCAGAAATTTAAATAAATGATCAGGCCTGAGATTGGAACAGACACTAATATGGGTTAAATATGAGGTCACAATAAAATTGTGAGCATCCCAATTCAGCAATGTCAAGAAATGCAATTGGGCTTCCCTGGTGGCGCAGTGGTTGAGAGTCCGCCTGCCGGTGCAGGGGACACGGGTTCGTGCCCTGGTCCGGGGGGATCCCACATGCCACGGAGTGGCTGGGCCCGTGAGCCATGGCCGCTGGGCCTGTGCGTCCGGAGCCTGTGCTCCGCAAGGGGAGAGGCCACGGCAGTGGGAGGCCCGTGTACCGCAAAAAAAAAAAAAAAAAAAAAAAAAAAGAAAGAAATGCAATTATGCCATATTGTATGGAACACCCCCCCCCACACACACATAATAAGGCATATGGTACCAATATCTCTCTCAGTCTCTTTCATGGGCATTTTTCTTCGGTAAATGCTAACATCTGCAAATACAGATCTATGATAGGAACAAATATGTCTCTTCATGAGAATTATGACAGTAGAATTCAATGTAAGTACTTTGGTGATAAACTTGACTATAATTACTTGAATTACTGACAGAATGTTTTAAATTGCTATGGCTTGAACTCCCAGTTGGGGAAGCTTCAGCAGGAAAAGCATCACGCAGCCTCGCACAGCACATTCCTGGACCAGGTGGTATAGAAGGGATGAAAGGTGCTGCCGGAGGGGTGATGGGAGAGCTGACTCGTGCACGGATCGCACTTGATGAGAGAGGACAGAGGCTAGGAGAGCTGGAAGAGAAAACTGCAGGCATGATGACCAGTGCAGAAGCATTTTCCAAACATGCACATGAGGTAAACTGCCTAAGTAAATAAAGGCATCTTCATACAGTAATAACTTTAAACATTTAGGTCCTGCAAAAGAAAGCCTAAACAGAGATGTCACTGAAAGTAATCCTGTGTGAGAGCCAAGGTAACTGGGATCTCATTATAAGTATTATAACTCCCCTCATATTGGGGGGAAAAAAATTTTTTAATACTATATTGATACTTCTTTACCTTAGAGGATGACTTAAAAGAAAATTATCCACTGGTTCTGGTACACTGGGTCTATATTGTGCATCAGCTGCTAAAAAGGTACTTAGGTTGATTACATGATCTCCCCCAACAAGGTGTGAGGGGGCAGTAGAGGCTGGGATCCACACACCCCTTTTTGTCTCAATCATTAAAAATCATTTCCTGTCAGGCAAATCTTTAGAGCTTGATTGGTTTTTTAAAAAGTCTTTCTATATGCACTTTATTTCAAAAAATAAAGGAAGTCTTATAAGTTTTGAGATTTTGATATGCATGATTAGCTCAATATGAGCTTGCTTTGATTAGCACTTTTAAATAATTTTTTAACATCTTATGTTGACTATTTTTTCTTTGCAGTTAATGCTGAAATATAAGGATAAGAAATGGTACCAATTCTAAACTTCTAAAGAAGCTATGACTGCTTTGAGAAACCATTATTCAGGGAAACCATATTTATTCCCGGCATCACTATTCAACTGCTAGAAGACAGTTTCTTCCACAAAATGTTCCATTACAGTCCATCTGAAGTTATCATAAGGGAGACTTATCAGAGACACTGTACAACCCAAAGGCTGGAGCCCTGGTTAAAACCCCAAGATATGGCTGAATTTGCCTCTTCCCACGTGGAATGGAGCTATCATCTTGGCATGTCGTTTGCTAAGGATTTACATTTAGGAACTATGGGGAGTCCTGATTTGAAAAAATCCTGTACAAACAAAAACCATTAATGCACTTAATGAACAAAAATTTTGCATGATAAATTAACATCTTAAGAGGAAAAGAAAAAAAAAGCATGTTGTGACAGAAGAAAAAAAGATTTATGGTAAACTATTTTTATAAATTGGACCACACCTGACAATTTAAAAAAATCTGTGTTAGAAGGTATCAGTGCATTTCAAGTACATTTGCAATACCCAACTGAAAAAACAAACAAAACCAGACTTTTCTTTTCATCTATAACTTTCATTATCTAGAACATTATTGAATTCTTATGGCAAGAGTCTGATTAACGTTCTTCTCTCTCCATAATATTTTACATTATTCACAGTTCTTGGTCATAATCAAATATTGCCAGTACAGTAAATTATTCCTAACACAATTATATCCATTTCTATCACCCTCAGAACAAGTTGCTATTTTTAGTCACAAACCGTGCAGGGTTGGGTCACCTCGAAGCATTTTTTCAGCCTGGCTTATACTCTGCAGGGGAGTTGACAATAGGTTTGGGGAAACTAGACTTACAGGAACAATGTAGTTAGCTTTGAGAACTGATTTCACTCACTCTGGTTTCAGGTTCTAAAGTGATATATTTTTAATGCTCCATTTGTATCCTTGTCTGCCAATTACACAGTATATTACTGTTCAATCCCAGTGGGGTCTTCAATTCAAAGGTGCTCTTGCAGCCTGACACAGACCAAACTGGTCATTCTCTTTAGTCTGATTCAGTAAAACCTCAGTTAATGTTTTAGGAAAGGGATTCTGACATTTCTGATTAACAAGGGCTTTCATTAGAAATTACTTTTTGGTTCAATACTTACTATTAAAAATTGTTATAAAGTGGTGGTGTTTTTGCTATCTTGGCTTTAGTCACCATTATGGACAACAGAAATTTTGTCACTCAACAGGCTAAATAACATAAGCCACAGGATTATGTCAACAGGTACCAAATACCTATTCCTTATTAAAAGCTCTTTTAAAAATGGAATGAAGAGGCTTCCCTGGTGGCGCAGTGGTTGAGAATCTGCCTGCTAATGCAGGGGACACAGGTTCGAGCCCTGGTCTGGGAAGATCCCACATGCCGTGGAGCAACTAGCCCCGTGAGCCACAACTGCTGAGCCTGCGCGTCTGGAGCCTGTGCTCCGCAACAAGAGAGGCCACGATAGTGAGAGGCCCGCGTACCGCGATGAGGAGTGGCCCCCGCTTGCCACAACTAGAGAAAGCCCTCGCACAGAAACGAAGACCTAACACAGCAAAAATAAATAAATTAATAAACTCCTACCCCCAACATCTAAAAAAAAAAAGGAATAAAGAATATCCTTAACATGATAAAAGATTATCTATTATAACTCAACAGAGAGCTAGTAGAGGCAAACAAAATAAAGATGTCTGCTACCATCATTTAATATGATTCTGGAAGTCAAAAGTCTTAGGAAATGAACATATGCAGATTCTGGGACCCATCCTATAATATGTATGTTATTCTTTCAAAAAGAATCTTTTTAAAGAAAATTAATGGGTTCGGCTCATTGAATTTTGATTAATCAAGGTCTTACCAGACTCACATTGTTTCTTAAGAATTCACCATTTTCCTGAAGTCCAGGCTATTTGAGTAGCCAAAAATAGTATTTCTGCTTTTTAAATTTTTAGTGAATTTGTTTAAAGTGGCACTTCTTTCAAATGTTCTCAGTAATTTTGAGAAGAACAAATTAATCTTTGAGAAGAGTAATCTTTGAAAAGAGATGGGGGAAAGAGTCAGAAAATGTGTACCAGGATAGCATTTCTCAGAGTCCTTGAATTCTCCTGATTTCTCAAAAAAGCCTCTCTAGGAATCTCTCCAGACTCCTGTGAACAGCCTTAGGGTAACAGAACCTGACTTTGAAATACAAACATGATACATAAAATTATATAGTAAAAATACTGAAGAAACTTGAGACCAGGATTTGGAAAACACTGGTAGGCAAATTGCACTGCACTATTTGTACCATCAGTTTTAAGGACCCAGTTTTCTGATTTTCTGAACAAATACTTTATCATTTCTATACTTAAAAAAAAACCTAAGAGTAAAATATTGGTTTATTTTAGAAGCAATGAAATAAAGCCCAAAGTGGCATTAAATTCAATGACTATCTCTAAAGCCCCAATAGGATGTGACCTAACTTGTTCTGTATCAGGGTTTCTCAACAATGGCACTGTTAACAGAAAATTCTTTGTTATGTGGCACTGTCCTTTGCACTGCAGGTGTCTAGCAGCACCCCTGGCCTCTCTCCACTAGATGCCACTAGCGACCCCCACTCCCAACCGCCCCAAAATGACAATCAAAAATGTCTCCAGCCATTGACAAAATTACCCCCAGTTGAGAGCCACTGTTCTACATCATTTGGAGACAGATTAAGTGTGAATATGTAATATGTCTTGTATAAAATTAAACATCGTTAGTACACAGTAACAAATTATTATACCCAAAATTACATGTGTGGTTCATATGCAATAAAATGCTATTTTGGGGAAAGCTTACATGAATCACTGAAAGATAACAATTACAGAATATTTTAAAGCATACAGAAAAAATACCAGAAAGGACAAAATAGCATTTCACAGAAGTGCTTAAAACTGGCTTTAATGAATAGATCAAAAGTTTATAATTGGCACGTCAATTGGAAGTAAGGTGCTTCTGAAATGCTTGAAAAGAATAGGTTCTTTTCGTCTTTCAATATTGTTTTTATAAACCCTTTCTTAATGTAAGGGTAACTTCATCCCACAAACTCCTGATTAGTGGAATACAAATTAATGAGGTTTTACTGTATCAAAATTATTTTTCTAATTCAGAGATAGCAATAACAAGAATCTAATATGGACGTGATTTTTCTCTTTGAACATTTCTGTTGCACTGACCTTAGCATGCGCGTGCACGTGCACACACACACACACACACACCCCCCACCATCTCACCATCATCATCATCTTTAGAAAATGAGTACTGTTGATCCATGTAATACTTTACATCTCTCTTCTCTACTATTTAAATGTCTTGCCTCTATCTTAGAACATAAGAAAAATACTCCTAGTAACTTGAACAATGATAGAGAAAATGACTCTGAGCCTTAGTTGTCATCAAAATTACATTTTGTCTGCTTAAGGTGACATCAGAAGATAAGGCTTGCAAATCACAGTCTCTCTACAAGTTGACCATATCTCATTATGATTCCCTGAAGAGATAACCCCTTCTTAGTGTCCCAGGAGAAAATGGGCCTTTAGCATTATAATTCATCATGGAGCTAGAGGTATTTTTTTTCCTGGTTCTAATATGCGAGCAATAATCCCTACCAAGAAATCATCCATTAACCTTGGAGTTTGGAGGGATGGATGATTGATTTATCATTTATTTTAATCCACTGCAAAAGCAGTACTGCCAGCTCTGCTATCTACACTTCATTGAGACCCAGACTTAGTGCCCGTCATCATCATGGCCATTATCTGACTAACTTTGGAAGGATGGTGACAGAACTGAGTGAGATGTTTTCTGATAATTCAGTCATAAAGATAATGTTTCAAATCTTTCATATAGCATTTGAATGATTCTCCAGTTAATAAATCAGAATCCAGGTCTCTAGTACTCGAAGATCTTAAGGGATTGTAAAGGAAAAAGTTTACCGTTGGAGTCCTTTTTTAAAATGTGAACCATGTGTCTGTTATCTGCATTAAGGGATCACCATGGCTTTGAGGAAGGAAAAGGAAAATAAAGATTATGCCCAAGGTTGGTTGAAGAAGATTAAGATTAGCTCTTTGAGATACTTGGTTTTAAAATGTTTGGCAGAAGGGAAAAATGAAGCATATTTAGAAGAGTAAGCTAAAAGCCCTCTCATTGGTTTAGGGTCATTGGGACAACCCAGGAGTATCTGTGTGATTATAGCCCGTGTCCATGGGAAGGCATTGTTAACTTGACCACTTTTGTTCTGAGAGGGCAATGTCAAGAGTCAGATGTTTCTGCGAGGCCTGCCCTTTGCATCAGGAGAAAAGTGGTAGCCTTTGCAGCTTCTTCACCTATGTCTTCTGTAGCCCCAACCCCACTTGTGACGTTACTGTTTCACAGACACACTGCTCCAGGGGCCAGAAATACTTGCCAGTAAGTCATGTATTTGGATTGCACCGTTCCAGGGAGCATGGCTGTAGAAGTTTATTGTGTATATGTGCAGACAACATAGCCCTGAAAGGACAAAATTCAAAATAGGAAAGGTCTGACTTAGGAGAGAAGAGAAAGTGCAATTTGGTACAAGCGGGCTGGGGTAAAAAGGGACATGGGAGCCAGAGTGAAGCATAAGAAGCTTTGATGAGGAACCGAGGCACAGTTGGTCTATTTATACATTTATGTAGGGAAGTGATTCTCAACTTTGGCTGTGCATAAGCATCACCTAAGGCGCTTCTAAAATTCCCAGTTACACCAAAATCTTTCAGAGTGGGTACCAAACATCAGTGTTTTTGAAAGCCTCCAAGATAGTTCCAATGTCCAGCCAAGGTTGATAACTATTACTAAGGAAGACACATTTGTCTACCCTGACTGGCGTCTCAGCCCCACTTCTGAGCGGTCAAGGAAAACAAGATATTGGAGATATTGGCCAGATTGATATTTATTCTGTGTCGCAACCCAAAACAAATGTTCTGTAAAAATTTCTGACCAGGCAGTGCCCCATTAATTCTTAACATCTCTGTCTTTGTGATTTTCTCCTATATGACTGGCCACTAATTATTCCAATTCAAGCATCTAGGTTTCGATTGCCTTATACATGTGACATCACCAGACACCAAAGATATCATAAGAAATTTAATACCATGCAACGTGAAGTGGAAAACTAATTCTCAATAGTGGGATAGTAGAAATTCTCAAAACAATCATTTACCAAATCAGGTCCAAATTTATTACTCATTCTTCATTTGGAGGAGACATGGGTACCAGGTACCTGGTTCTGCCACAGCTATATTTTATTGGATTTGATCTTAGCAAGAAGGGAGAGCAACTCTCCCTTTTTGATTTTTGTCTTTGCTCTCAGGGCAAAGGAGTTTGGATTTATTTTCTTAGTTACTGGACATGTGTTTAAAGGGAGAAGAATGCCTGCAGCTGACTATGTGGCCTCCAGTGCCCTGAAAGAGTGATTTCACCTTCAAAAACGGGAGAGTCTGCCTATCCAACGCAATACTAGTCAATGAGAAAACAGAAGAGTTCTCTCCTCTCACACTGCTCCCCTCTGGTATTGGCCCATCCTTCTCAACTGCAAAGCCAGAAAATAAACTAGGTGGTAGTTATGGACAAGTGTGCACAGGATCAAAATCTCTAATAACCTATAATTTTTAGTACTTAATTATGTGATGTTTTATTCTAGGAAATAAGAAACAGATGACATCATTGATGTATCTTTCTTTCATCTTAAGAATTTTTGCATCTTTTCAGAAAATGACAAATTACTATTTTTCTGTTGCACTCAGCAATTGTGACTATACTTAAAATTCTTGTAGTCTGTAGAGATATCAATAAAATTGTATATGTTTGTACATAGATGCTCTCTTATGTTATGTCATACACCACTAATGATTGTTGCCAAGATTAAATGTGGACAGAGGTAAGACCCTCATTTGCAACAGTGTGAACTATGGTTTTGCAAACTAAAATTGTTTTAAAAAGGGGAGGTGGGTGGGGGAGCGATGTAAAGCATATGTATTGGAACTAAAATAGAGAAAGGGGTAAAACAAAAAAACTGAACACAAGTTCCCCAAACTGAAAGATTTTACTAGTTTATTAATCTAAAATGGTAGAAATAAATAAGATGTACTTACAAATTCAACATTCA